CATAGATGTATGAAAAGTCAGAAAAACAACTTACAATCATCAGTTCAGTACCTTAGCTATTAATAACATTTTCTAGTACGGAATATAGGCCTTCAATATCTAAAACACGTCTATAAACGATAGTACGGAATATAGGCCTTCAATATCTAAAACACGTCTATAAACGATAGTACGGAATATAGGCCTTCAATATCTAAAACACGTCTATAAACGATAGTACGGAATATAGGCCTTCAATATGTAAAACACGTCTATAAACGATAGTAAATGTCTCACCGATAGGATCTTCGTCTAGCCATTCCATCCGTGACTGAGGAGCGACAACACTTGGATCCACCAGAATCTAGAACAAATAAATAAGTAATCATTAAACATGATATCTAAAGAATAAGCTTCTGATCAATCACGGATATACGGAGGGTTAAGTACGTTATATCACGGATATACGGAGGGTTAAGTACGTTATATTAAAATTATTTTGAATAAGTAAATCACAATGTCACTCAACAACCATGACCGATATAAAGTTGCGGTGGAGCGGCATGTATAAGTACTACATTTTGCCGTTGTTTGGCATGTCATAGGTAGAGTGGTGGCACCGAAAACTGGGAAGGGTATGTGATGGTTCTTTCCGACGGAAAATATTCCTATACTCAGATCATAAAAAAATTTTTTGAGATAGAAGATTTATAAAAATATTACTACACTCAGATAATAAAAATGTGTTCATATCGAGGATTTTTAAATATGTTCCTACACTCAGGTCATCAAGATGTATTCAGATCGAGGATCTATAAAATACTCCTACACTCAGATCGAGAATTTATATAAATATCCCTACACTCAGAACATCAAGATGTATTCAGATCGAGGATCTATAAAAATACTCCTACACTCAGATCAAGAATTTATATAAATATTCCTACACTCAGAACATCAAGATGTATTCAGATCGAGGATCTATAAAATACTCCTACACTCAGATCGAGAATTTATATAAATATTCCTACACTCAGAACATCAAGATGTATTCAGATCGAGGATCTATAAAAATACTCCTACACCCAGATCGAGAATTTATATAAATATTTCTACACTCAGATCATAAAGATATGTGGAGATCGAGGGTTTCTAGTTTTCAAGACGAGGAAATCCCTTTTATTTAATTGCATTGGAAAACAAAAGAATATGGATCAACTTGGGACACCAGGACAATTAAGCAAGAGACCTGCAACAATTCGTATTCCGATTGTGGTGAGAAAAGTGCGGTGTCCTGTAACAGGTGAGAATCCAAGAACAGAAAGATTAGTGGTAAAAGCCGTCCACATGCCCCAGATAACACTACACAACATAATCAAGAAAGATGTCAGTCTCGAAGAGTGACACAATTCACAAGTAAACAAGCTGCTTCCACGACATATCTATTCAACCGTCGCATACCTCAAACAGCTGGATAATGATATGGGTATTCATGCTAGTTTATCCAAACACTTTCCAGTTAGCATCCGGACACATCGCCTATGGGAATTTGTGCAATCGGACTGTTGAAATGGGCATTGGTAAACTGTTGTTTTTCTAATCTACATGGGTTATGGATAACCTGCAGGGAGTAGTGGTGGGTTTTGGACATGACAGCCTTATGACGTAGTATTTTGTAATAGAAATTACGGCTATTTTAAAGAACATCACTGTATTTGACGACATGGACTGTAACGTCGTAATGAGACTCCAAACTCGTTTTAATATAACATATTCACCTTCTATATTTATTTGTTGAAAACCTGTGTCAAATCAAATGAGTTTTTACCCTAAAAACACAAATATAACAGCTTCTGTAATATTATTCATACTAAACTTAAACCTAACCTAGAATATTATAACATACCTTTAGTATTATGTTTTATTGTATTTTTTGTTGAACGTTTGTTTCATTAATAGTTTTAATTAAAGTGTTTAATATCTATATGAAACGTTTACTTTTATTTCCACATCTTATTATAATATATTCATTGTTTATTTTATGTTATATGATTTTAAGATTACCCAAAACAGTCTCTTGAAATACGACATCGTTTATAGACGTGTTTTACATATTGAAGGCCTATATTCCGTACTATCGTTTATAGACGTGTTTTACATATTGAAGGCCTATATTCCGTACTATCGTTTATAGACGTGTTTTAGATATTGAAGGCCTATATTCCGTACTATCGTTTATAGACGTGTTTTCTCCTTGTGTAGTTTTTAATGTAATTGTCTTTAAGTTTCAATGACACGCTCTCCTTGTGTAGTTTTTAATGTAATTGTCTCTAAGTTTCAATGACACGCTCTCCTTCTGTAGTTTTTAATGTAATTGTTAATTGTTTTTCATTTTAATTGCGAAATTTTGGAGTTGTTACATTTGTGCAACATTTGACCCTACCGTTCATGTAGAACAAAGATATTATCAAACAAAACTGTGATAAATGTAATCATCAGATAGCGCAAAAATCGTATAGATAACAACTGTGTTTATCACAAAAAATAACACAAGCAACTTTGGTTATGTTCAATATATGTTCGGAATATAGACCTTCAATATCTAATGTAATTGTCTCTAAGTTTCAATGACACGCTCTCCTTGTGTAGTTTTTAATGTAATTGTTCCTAAGTTTCAATGACACGTTCTCCTTGTGTAGTTTTTAAGGTAATTGTCTCTAAGTTTCAATGACGCACTCTCCTTGTGTAGTTTTTAATGTAATTGTCTCTAAGTTTCAATGACACACTGAACACGGTCCGCAATTACAGTTATGGACACGTTATAAATTTGTACGAGTCGGCTAAGAGTGCGGCGGGTTCTACTTACTGGTTGCTCTTCCTTTGATCACAGTTCAAAATTAGGGATCCCTGACCTGGTTGGCTATTTCGTCCAGGTGTCACATACTGGTGCACTTCAGATTAAAAATGCCAACTTGATAAGATCATGTTTTAGTGTTTAAAATCTTATTTCAATATGAAAGCAGCAATATAGCTTATAAAAACTAATTATCAAATATTTGTTTAATTACAGATAGCAACTACAGTTACAAGGTGGCGTTGGCCACAGAAGAAGCTTTTATAGCATGCCCAGTTTCCAGGGTACTTCCCATGGACGTGTCTGAATAGAAAACGTTTTAAAAAATATGTTGCAGGGTTTGTTTGACTTCGGGTATTTGTGCAAAGCTAGACAAGAGCTACCTGCGTATGGCAGTCTCTAAGTTTGAACTGTGAGTCTAGAGGGATGACAACCACCGTAAACTGTTAGGTTACTGTAATCAACTGGTGGAATAATATTGTCACTCTTATATCGCACCTGAGGCTCTAAAGTATGGAGCACGAGTTTGCAGCAAACCCCGAACCTTCGGAACAACAGTTTGGTACACTAATACCAGGCCACGCCCGGCTCTAGGTTTCAATGACACACTCTCCTTGTGTAGTTTTTAATGTAATTGTCTCTAAGTTTCAATGACACGCTCTCCTTGTGTAGTTTTTTAAGGTAATGATCTCTAAGTTTCAATGACACACTCTCCTTGTGTAGTTTTTAATGTAATTGTCTGTAAGTTTCAATGACACACTCTCCTTGTGTAGTTTTTAATGTAATTGTCTGTAAGTTTCAATGACACGCTCTCCTTGTGTAGTTTTTAATGTAATGATCTCTAAGTTTCAATGACACACTCTCCTTGTGTAGTTTTAATGTAATTGTCCCTAAGTTTCAATGACACGCTCTCCTTGTGTAGTTTTTAAGGTAATGGTCTCTAAGTTTCAATGACAAGCTCTCCTTGTGTAGTTTTTAATGTAATTGTCTGTAAGTTTCAATGACACACTCTCCTTGTGTAGTTTTTGCGGAAGGAACTTCCAGGGTTCGAACCCGCGATATATCAAAAACTTGGGTCAAGTATGTGTCGCCGTGTCATCGAATTTTACTGATACATTTTTATGAACAATGACGTGTCCAGAGTCGTGTAAAACGGATCCTCTCCATACGAGCATTTAATAACTGTGAATTTGATTATAGAATTTTCTTCTTTTACACAAGCATAAATAATATGGTGGAGCAGAAAGTGTTCGGAAAATAAACTGATTTCTTTCTCTTGGTTGATTGTGTGACTGTATTGTTGCCGCCAGAGGGCTATCTTGATTATTTTTACTTTGAAGAAGTTAGTATTTGGTTCTTGGAGATCGATCTAATAGCCTATATAAATTCAGTTATTAGGCTTATGCATAAATAAACAAATAGAAAAATTATATATATATATCCATCTGTATATATTTGGTTTTGGTTTCATTAATTGTTTTTTAAAAAGTAGAGGCTAGCTCTAATCCAAAACTGAAATATATTTGATATTTTGACATACATATATATCTATTCAAAATGTGATATTCGTATATTTCCAGGTTAAGTCAATAGTTATGTATATTAAGTTCCCATTTCTTCGGGTATGATGTTGAAAACAGAATGATAAGTCTAAAATACAATTTGGACAGGAAATCCTTATTTTGAAAACAACATCCCGTTGCTAACTCCGTCACTGTTGTAATAAAACATGAGTCAGGGCTTCAAAACTTGACATAGATCTATTAATATAGGCCAAGTGTATCATCGTAGATGTATTGAACTTATTAATTATAGCATTTTCAGGTCATTATCTCTATTGAAAGTATAGATCGGTGTTATCCAGCAGCTTCATAACACTTGTAATTGGTTAATGATATACACTGGGAGTCATCCAGCAGCGTGATAACACTTGTATGAAACTGTCTGATTAAATATATAGTAAACAAGTCGTTTCTGTCGTCACACAAGCACTACGTATGAAACTATCTGACTAAAAATATAGTAAACAAGTTGTTTCTGTCGTCACACAAGTACTACGTATGAAACTGTGTGATTAAATACATAGTAAACAAGATGTTTCTGTCGTCACACAAGTACTACGTATGGAACTGTGTGACTAAATATATAGTAAACAAGTTGTTTATGTCGTCACACAAGTACTACGTATGAAACTGTCTGACTAAAAATATAGTAAACAAGTTGTTTCTGTCGTCACACAAGTACTACGTATGAAACTGTGTGATTAAATACATAGTAAACAAGATGTTTCTGTCGTC